TAACCCAACAGTCCCTTACCTGTAGATAGGTTTTAAACTATGCTCAATAACAGACATGATGTCTCCTCCCAGAAACCAGCCACTAAAGCAGAGGTTCCCAAACTTTTATATTTCGAGAAATTATGATGGGTTGTTCCACATAATTTCTCTGTCCGAGCTACTCTATCAGTGTATTTATTCAGTGCAGTAATGCTGACATTTAAACTACGCTTATGTTCCCCGTTTAGTTTTTAAGCCATTGCTCTACTCTTTGCTTCCTCAGTCAGCTGGGCTCCACCCTCATCGTGAGTGTGTGTGCAGTCATCATTGCCAGTCACTTCTCGGACATCATGAGAAGAGACAGAGGGGAGCAAGATGCTGGTGCTGTGTCCATCAAAAACCTGTTTTCCACGTTCACCTCGTTGCTGAGCAGAGCCTCACCAGGTCAGATACTCTATTGGCTGTAAATACGGCCTCTAGCATGGCAACTGTATCAGTTGTGGTTTCCAGGTTGCACAAAAGAGAGCAGATTTTTATTTATTTATTTTGCAGATGGTTAATTTCTGACATTTTTTTAAATGCCCGAGGTAGTGCACAATACACACCACATGCTGTCTCTGTTGATAGTTCAAGTCTAGAAATACTTAAAAAATGAATTGGCATCCGCTCAGTGAGGGTGTGGAAATAACCGTGTGTGTGTGTGTGTGTGTGTGTGTGTGTGTTAGTTCAGTCCATCCGGAAGCTTATAGAGCACTCTCAGGTTGTCTTCATCCTAATCATCGAAGTCCTGCTAAAACTTGTGGCATTCGGTGTTGTGAGGTTCCTGAAAAACGGGCAACACGTTAAAATCATCCAATTTAAATTCTTTATTTTCCTTTGCTCGTTGGGCTTTTTAAGTGCTTAATGTGTGACATGATGTGTGTGTGTGTGTTTTTAGCTGGAATCTGTTTGATGTTGCTGTCATCTTGGCTTCCATCATCGGCGTCATTTTCAATGAGCTGGAAATAAGGGCATGTCATTCCAATCAGTCCCAATATCCTAACGGCCTTGAGGGTATTCAGACTAGCACAAGGTACATAAACCTCCAGGAAATTGATCTGTCAGTATAAAGTTTGATCAGATTATTTATGTACTTGTATTAATCATTGTTCAGTTTGTATTGTCACACTATAGAGAATTTAATACCTTTTGGGGACATAAAGCTCTCAAAGTTCCAATAACAGCAATCATTACACTATAAGGTGTGTGTGTGTGTGTGTGTGTGTGTGTGTGTGTGTGTGTGTGTG